TCAATTTAATGTGCACTATTTCTGGCAGTCTGCAAAGGTCCTTAGTCTCGAAGGTGCTACAAGATCCTTTTGCATACTAATTTTCCAGACTAACAAGGCTATATCTGAATTCTACAGACATGAGGAAAGTGAGAGTGCAGTGAGAGCAATGGAGGGTTTCACTGCAAGGGTGTGAGTGGTGGTGCTCATGAAACAAGGGAAGGGTGCATCATGTGGAAGGCTGGAGTAGGAGAGATGAGAGAATGAGCATTGCAAGCATTTGAGTGCAAGAAGCAAGTGAGGGGCTGACTACACAGGTACAAGGTGAGGCAGGGGAGGAAAGAAAAAAGATAGCCGTTTGAGCAGTGCAAGTGACGGTCTGCAAGAAGCAAGCAAGAGGTGCACCATGAGGGTGTGGAGTGAGGTGAGGGAGTGTGTAGAAGAGATGAGGTGATGAATGGTGCAAGTGGGAGCACAAGAAGCAATGGAGGCACACTCTGAGAAAGTGAGGTGAAGTGGTTGGGAGGGGAAAGGAGGGAAGGGAGCATGCATGTTGTAGTGGCAGAGCGCAAGGAGCAAGAGAGGTAGGCATGATGGGGGAAGGTGAAAGAGAGGGAGATGTGTCAGAAAGTGAGGGAAGAGTGAAGGGGAGAGAAAATGCAGATTGCAAAGAACAAGAGGAGAGCATGAGGTGAAGCCAGGGAGGGGAAATGATGGGGACCAAACAAGTTAGGAGCACAGGAATGGAGTTAAGGCATCAGCATGAAGATGGGAGCCGTGTAATTCATTGCTCCCATGTTCTGCTTCCTGAAGCAGTCCCTGCATGATGTTGCTCTCAGGAAAGGAGGAGCTGGGAAGATGCAAGAGCAAAGGATAGATAGAAGCTTATCAAGGTAGACGGTTAATGTGAATCTTCAGATTTGGGGAAATGGTTTCAAACAATTATGAAGACAATATAAAGGATTTTTGAAGAACTACTTCCACATTTATTTGTTTTGGGAATATGCTGTAGGCACATGAGCTGCTTACTCATACATATGTTCTACTATGTTAAATGTGCATAAGAGAGGAATAACATATGCCTCTGCAGGGAAAGTCTATCAGCGAAGCAAAGAACAGCTGCAAATGTTGGGATGTAGAAAGGGCCTTCTGTAGTATTTTCATGGAGCTGTAACTTTTTGTCATCAGTGAAAAACTGATGGCAAAAAACAGTGACCTGATGAAAATACCACTTGAAGTGGCTGTGTATGTCAAAATGTTGATATTGTTGTTGTTCTTTTATTTGCAGCACACTGCAAATGTACATGTCCACTTCATATGGTTTCCCTCTCTTTTTAAATCCCACAGCAACCCTGTAAGTACGATAGTTTTTTTGAAAGGTAGTGGTGGCCTATAGTCACATGGTTAATTCCATGACTAAGTAGAGATTTGAATGTGGTTCTCCTTGCTCCAGATTGAGCATTTTAAACATTACTGTCTACTGGCTCTCAGCAGAGATCTGAAACTGTAAAAGTTTTCCACCTTGCTCCGGAG